TTGCGACATTTGCGTTGGCGTTTCCGGCGTGCGTTTTGCGCATTTTGCGGTGTTTCCGTTTTGCGGCGGGCGGGCGTTTTTTCACAATTCAAAGTCCCAACCTTCGGGCCGCAGCGTAAACAACCTACTGAAATTGATCATGTACAGTCCACAGTAGAAGTAATGTGCGGTTTCAGTCATGGGTATGTTCTGCTTCTGAAGCTTAGGAACGATTAACCAGACTACAATGAAACTTTGAATGTAGCTTACATGTATCGTTAACCATGCAGCTGCAAGTTTATCAATTGACGTCTTATTTTCGATCACTCCGCATTAAAAAATGGCCAGTCAAAGCCATCCGTTGAGATTGTTAAAACCGCACATTACCTTAGCGGTGGGCTGTACCAAACGGATCAAACAGACCAAGGTGCCCGTCGTAAACAGAGCTGTTGATAGGCACGTGCCCTAACATACTATTTCCGTCAAGCGTCAAGCTTTCGTCGACAATAACGTCTGATGCAGCTTTTATTTTTCATTGATCGGTATAACTTTTTTTTAGCTTTTATTAACCTTGCCACGGTCGCATTGCCATGTCTGTTTCCTATCTTGTACTATATTGTCGTCCCATGTAGGACTAAAAAAGCAAAATGCCTATTTGTTCTTCTTAGCAGTTCAGTAAAGAGACGAGCTCATATTATAGCACATACACGAATTGGACATGACGCCTGAATGTGATCTCTTCTGATGAAAACCTACATGCAGATTTAATTACGTTTTGTTCAGCTTGTAGGTATTCTACAGAATTTATTTTAAACGTCGTTGTCTCTAATCTTTTTGTGCAATCCCATCAGGTTACATCAGGTGACTTGAACCATTAACGTTATTTCATCCATGGCTGCACTACCCAATCCCATGCATGGCATCTACAATTACATGAGGCATGTAGACCAAACGTCTACTGCAATGATAAGCTACGACAGCTTACACAAGATTCAAACTCCCTCGAACATATACCTACAAATAGTAGGTAATACATAGGTATGCTGTACAAAGTGAAATCGTACTGCGCAATGCGCTGATATGCAATAGTTAATCTTGCCCTTTGTAAATGTAAAAAGTCAAACGGGTGATTTCCAGGATGATTTCCAGCAAAGCAGGCATCACCTTGGGAATTATGTTTCCATTTCATGTAGGCATTGTTTGCTCATCATAGACCTTAAAGGAAATAGTTCACTTTTTAACATGGGTTTTGAACTGGAATAGCAGTTCCGTAGCTTGGGCTGAGACGAGCATAAATCAGGAGCTTTTACAGCCCAACGATCACCCTAGGCAAAGATATTCTATTTCTCGTCCCGAAAAAGGTGTCTTGCGTTGAGGATGTGTGCCTTGCATATATTTCCATCCAGTATGAAAAGAGCATGGGTCCCGAAAATTATTCAGAAACTAGAGAAATTATCTACGAGAACTCTAGAGAAATTCTCGTACTGATCAATTAGGACATTCAGGGGAACATTATCAGATCGAGCAGATCGCCCAAATGCCGGTGGCTGCGATAATTTCTCTGTTTCTGAAGAATTTTCGGGACCCATGCTCTTTTCATACCGAATCGCGTGTGCCTTACAGAAACTGAAAAGTTCTTCCTATATCAAAATATAGAAAATAATCTTTTGTTATAAAAAGGTTTTATTTTCTTTGCTGATTATTTTGAACATAAAAAATCATAAATCCGTTGCAAAAAAATAATTTCGTGAAAGTGAACTATTTCCTTTAAGTACTCGTCGAATGTATATTCGTTTTAGAAAATGAGTCAACCATTACAATTTGAATTAAATCTGCGAAAAAACTTTTGTTCTGACAACCTCAATTGCCAGATGACATGAAGCGGCTTTGTTCTAACTGATTTACTAAAGTATTGCATGACACAGGCGTCACTTTCTGAATTTTATTGGTAGGACTCTAATGGCTAATTTCAGAATGCCGAAGCAACTCTTTCCGTGCATCGCCACAGGGCTAATGAATTCTGAAATTATTGGCAGGGCTCCGGCATTACCAAAGCCTATACAAAATGACACCCATGCCCTTGGATTTTTTATTTTGTTTTTCCATACTCCTAACTGGCTTGCAGTCTGCATACTTATCTTTCAACTATGCTTTGGATGGATCATGATGAGAATCGATGTAAATGGATTGGACCTGCCTTTTTTCCTAGAGAAATTCCACCATTATATGAAAAAGCGACACATTTGAAGCAAGAGAATGATTCGAGTTTGCGTTTGTTCCCGTGCGAGTTGACATGAGACCATTTGTGGTGAAACACACGCCCAGCCCAGTCGATATGACCTGCACTCTGTGAGTTAATGGGTCACGGGGTATAATAACCGAAAATACACCGGTCGGACCTGAAACACCAGCTCAGAGCGCCATTCCGGGCCCCCCCCCCAGTCGGCGCAACACGCGCGCTAATCGGCGCAGCACGCGCGCTAATCGCATCTGGCACGCTCAGCAACACGCGCGCGCCGCTCGCCGGGCCGACCGAGGATGGGCGCCGCTCGTGCAGCCACTTTTGAAAGGATTGACGGCCGAAAACGTGAGCCGCTTATTAGCCGGTGGGCACTTAGCGCACATTCCTGGATATAATTAAATGTAATGCAATGCAGATTTATGCAATATGTTTATTGCACATATTCCGTGTCGTTGTAAAAGTTCGGTGTTTCCTCATAACAAGACAGGTCTCATGGGGCTATATGTGATTCGGCTAGACAAAGCTCTCACTATTGAAAGTGTGGGTGTCATTTTTTATGCGTTTGACAGGGTGTGCACCATAATCTGACGGTTTTAGCTCACATGAGCTGACCATCTAACTGCGAATGAATTTAAACCGTGGGGATCAGACAAATACGATGGTTAACACCCGACGCACATGGCTGCGGTCATCCGATTTTTCTTTGGGGGGGGGGGGGGAAGGGGGGCAGGGCAACTGCAGCAAGTCATGGCGAAAATGCCGGCCGGATATGTATCCAACTTCGGGATATAACTTTGACATCACCTATAGGTATTGGCGTGGCGACATCGTTTTTTATTTTTTTATGGGAAAGGCAAACATATCAGATTGCTTTAAACCTAGTTTGGGCAGGCGCGTAACCACCACTGGGGACACTGGGGACCGGTCCCCAGTAACTTTTGGGTTACTGGGGACCGTACCCAGTAAAACCGACGACCTCCTCAGTTTGCTTAAATAGCCAAATATTGTCTCTAAATCGACGTGAAGAGTAATATGTAGTCAACGGAAGACAAAACAATGCACGTTTTGTTTAGCCAACGCCCGGGTGGGCCCCTCAGCCAATTTCGCCATGGGGTTGGGGCTGGGGGCTTTTTGGCCACACCAGATTATCTCGGAAAGTAAGCAAGCTAGAAAGACGCGGTAAAAAGCAACAGAGAGCTCACTACAGTATCTTTCAAGAATTACATATCTCATGTTTTATCAGGTCATCGCTGAGGTCACTGGAGTCTGAGGTCACTGGAGTCTGGAGGTCACTAAAGGCAAAATTTTCACGAAGTTTTGTTCCCAATTTTGACAACTTTTCACAAATCGGCGCATAAGTCAGGAACCAATAGAGCTGCAGTGCTGCGGGAAAGCGCATTCGATAGCTGTTTCAAAGGCCTTTCTGAGTAATGCTCTCAGCTTTGACCTAAGGTCAACGGCTTAGCTTCCAGGCTAGCGTTTCATTAATGCCGCATTTGCCGTTGGTGAAACTCGTTGGCTATTTTTCTGGCTGATATTTTTTTTTTCACACCGGCGGATATTTTTCGCCTGGTTGGTGAAACTCGTCAGCGTTTTTTTTTTTTTTTTAAGAAAAATTGCGTCAGCCGGCTATTTTTCTGTTGGTATAGCTGACCTCTGGTGACCTGACCTTAGGTGACCTGGGGTAAAAATTTTCACAGACGATGCTAAATTGGGGTTTCATAACCTATACCAAGTTTCGTGGCGGTGCGCGCCGCGGTTTTCCTTACACGCGCAAAATACTGGCAGGTCTGGCCAAAAACGCCCCCTCTCCCCCCTCAGGCGACTCCTGAAATATAATATTTGGTCTTCGCAGCCCTCCATGTGGTCCCCAGTAACTTCAGACTTGTGGTTACGCGCCTGAGTTTGGGGCGCTTTTTATATAGATATTCGCGATAAACCTGGGGGGGGGGCGTAAAAGACGCCCTCCCCCTCCCTCCCTGCACGGCGAGGGTTAAACACTGCCTATGGTTGTGAACATCGGCAGTGTTTACCTACTGTACCGCTGTCAGGTTAGAGGATTGGATTAAGCTAGAGGATAGGGGCAAAAAGGTTAGAGGTTAGGGGCTCGATGATGTATGTAGAAGACAAAACGAAAATGTGTCGTTCATCACTATTGGTTAGAACACACGATATTAGCTAGAACAGTGAACGGCCTGCCTGCCACCTTCGATGCGGACAAATTCCGAAGCTCTGCGCGGGATTTGTCATAAAGATAAAGATGTCCAAGGCCGACATGTCATACTACGAGCCGAGGCTAAAACGTTCTTGGTATCGTGGCCCTAAGTTCTGCTTGAGAACTCTTCTCCGCGACGATTCCCTTTGCTTGATTCCTCTCGCCTTTTTCGTTCATCACGGCCTCCGGGCTTTATGTGATTTTTAACCTCCGACTTTGAGGAAGAATGGTTGGTTATGGGCGCCAATATATAGTCTCGTTGCTGGCGCGCCCTAAAACACCAAATCTGATTTTGAATCTTCACATCACGTGTTCTTAGTAGGGTAATGTTTTCTCTACAATACGCAAAATCTGCGGGGCTCTGCATACTTGCTCACTCAATATAGCATATTGTATGCCAATGCAACGCGGTTATGCTCAAGATTCTTACAGATCAAGATAGTTATGCTCAAGGCAGTAGTTATGACTTATGTGCTGCAAATGCCTCCGAGATTACTCTTACTAGTTTTACTTCATATGGGGACAACCCATTGCTACCATATGCTGCAATTCTAGCCATGGTTTGTGACGCACCTGAGACGATAGGATTTCCGGATTTCTAGGGGTTTCGGGGGTTTCATGGATTTTTCGCTTCTGCTTTTAGGTAGTGGGCACTGGGCAGAGGCCGGTCGTAAAACTTATATTGTTAATTGGGTGAGTAGATACTTACAATTTTCGTTTTTATTATTTGCTAATGGATTGAATGCTTTAAAGGAAATAGTTTGCTTTTAACATGGGAGACCGGGGGTTCGAACTTGAATGCCTAGCAGTTTCATAGCTTGAGCTTGAGCTGAGACAAGCACAACAATATTTTTACGGCCCAACAATCACCCCAGGCAAAGATATTCCTTTTTTCGTCCCAAAAAAGTGTGTTGCTGATGAATGCAGCCACGTCATTGTTAGCAAATCAGCATGCTGCTTACGGCCGATGGGTACACAATATGATGGTCAATGTGTAACAAGCTTCCGCGTCAAAGTCAAACAGTATTTTACATAGAGTATACTAATTATTTATATTAATATATTATTAATATTTTATTAATATATTGTATTTATTATATTAATAAGTATCACATTAATATAAGTATGGTATGAAAAGATAGAGTTCCACCGAGTGCTTGCTGAAGCATGAAAGCCTGCTTTTAGCATGCCTTTTTAGCTCCATTTCTGGTTGTCTTAATTTGCATATTTTTAGATCATAAATGAAACTTTTGAAAGTAATTCTAATATATTTTCATTTTGGACCACATGTTGGACGCATACGATGCCTACCTGTTCCGTTTTGATTGACTGGTTTTGGCATACATAACTGTGTTAGGTTTCAATTTTACTGAAAAGAAAAGTGCATTAAAACTAAGAACTTTTACATGCTAACCCAAGGTGTGCCAAAAAACATTTTGGGTGTTTTTTAGGCTGCTCTACAATCCGCATAGCCATATTTGACCCATAAGTGATTGTGATTGACATTGTCATGCACCATTCATCAATCGTCATTCATGTATCAGTATGATAAAACGAAGGTTTAAAAAAAGTAAAATGCAACAAAGTCAGATTGAATGCCAAAGGTGCATAGGCCATGACTTGCAGATTAGTTAGCTGTGTGATTTATGGTGTAGGCTAGTTCAGGGCCTCGGCTAACATGTTAACTACTGGGGCAAATGCCCCAGTAGAGTCGAGGAATGCCCCAGTAGTGGTCAGGCTTTGCCCAACCTCCACAAAATGAGAATATATCAATATTAACGTACATTCTTTCATTCGGGAGCGGTTGAAGACGTTTGTGGCAAGAAATCAGGGGCGGCGGAAGAGGGAGTGCACGGTGTGCAGCTGCACCCTCAATTTCCATCCAAAAACATAGGCGTACAGCCCACCGCTAAAGTAATGTAGGGTTTTACCAATCTCAACGATTGGCTTTGACTGGCGATTGTTTAATGCGGAGTGATCGAAAAGAAGATGTCAATAGCTAAAATTGCAGCTGCAAGGGTGACGACTGACGATACATATAAGCTACATTCAAAGTTTCATTGTAGTCTGACTAATCGTTCCTAAGCTTCAGAAGCAGAACATACCCATGACTGAAACCGCACATTACTTCTGCTGTGGACTGTACATTAGCAAGCATATCTTTTTACACCCCATAATCCATCTTCGTTCGAAAGAGCGTCAAAAATAATGACGAAATTACTTGAGCCACTTTTTTGGTGAGGTCAAAGGTCAGGTCATGGTGAAGGCCAACTTTCGCCGATTTTCAGGTCGAATATCGACAGTTTACAAGATGCCGACGCTTAACTCGGGAACCAATTAGAGCTACAGCACCGCGGAAAAGCGCATTTGATAGCCATATTAGCATGCTTTCTGGTTATTTCTCTTAGATTTGACCTAACGCCAACGGTTTTGCCTGCAAGGGGCAAAAACTACTAAAGACGATTTTGGGGGAACAGTTTTTCTGCAATAACTTTTGACTCATGCTTTGCACGAGCCAAGGCCCAATGCAAGCGCTTTCTTTTATCCGACATCGTGTTCCTCTCGTCAAGACGCATCAAATTAACTACAATTTGACCTTGAAGGTCAACTTGAAAATTCGACCTCAGGTTCAAGTCATGATCTGACCGGAAATTGTCATGTTGCATATCAGTCGATCTGCATCGTCTAACCAAACACATCTAAGGCATTTTCATCGCTCTAGCATGCCTCTTTCAAAAGTTATTCGCGAAAAACTGTTAGATACCATTCGTGAACTGAGATGACCTCAGGGGCATAAAAAAGGGTCACGGGTGCTATTTTCATGTTCAGTGTGTCAAAGTCACGTACAGTGTTTTATAGTGTTTAGAATAACTTTCGTCCAAAAGAGGTGGTTTTGAATTTCTCCCATTGACTTATAATAGATCGGTCGCAAAAGTGAGCTGACCTTAGGTCACCGATATGAAAATTCCGAGATATAAATTTTGTACATGCTGTTGCCCTTATCAATCGCTGAAAGTTTCAAAGCGATCGGTCACTCGGTGTAGCTACGGCATACATGGAAACATTTCATGAGGTGAGGTCACTTGAAGTGACCTGGTAACCTGATCTTGAATGACCTTGGTCTGAGATTTTTACAACACGTGTAAAATTGATGGGTGATGGAGCGCCGCCGTTTTTTAGATATCCGCGAAAAACCGCAGGAAAAACCGCAGGTGTTCAAACACCTGCGGCCCCCCCCCCCTGCTGGGGGCCCCCCCAGCAGGGCGCCAACACACTTTGACGATTTGCCCCAGTAGTCAAAATTCCTTAGCCGAGGCCCTGGGCTAGTTTGTAGGTTAGTAGCAAGTTGTTGTGAAATTCTCTTCATTTTCAGGCTTGTAAATCTCTTTTCTGGTAAACCTACCTGTGACATTTTTACCTACAATTAGTAATATAATTTGTGTCTTGCATTTTTACAGAAATAGCTGCTAATCAGCTTTCAAGATGAACCGTATGTCCTGGCAAGGTAAGTGAGTGATCTCTGTTGCTGTTTTGTGCATACATGGATGGTAAGAAACTCTGTCCATGTCCAAGGTACTCCTCTCAAAGGCCATCATTGTGCAGGTGAGGAGGCCGGAGGGGCACATCTCCAAGATCAAAGACTAGGGTGCTGGTGAGAAGTGAGGACCTTGTGTACAAAGCTGTGAGTGAATAAGTAGTTAAATACCGGACATGCTGCTTTTGCTGCTTGCCATGGGTGGAGCAATCAAGCTGTAGATAAGTAACATTTTGCCATGTAAGGACAGACTAGTTGGCCGAAGCATGCCAAACCTTGCCTCAATCTTTCATTGAGTGGCAGCTTCTCACTGTAGGACCTAACAGATACACTTAGAGTGGCTCTTGCAACAAGGCTATTATGTCATTTTTATTGTTGCTGCTAACAAAAATTCAAAAGGCTCTTGTGTTATGGTTGGATTGACAAAGCCATAGCCTTGTTCTAAGTCTAAGTCATAGTCTAAGCAGAATTTGTTGTTTGAGACCCTGGCCCCTTCCATCCGGTCACACAATTCTTAGTAACTCAGTAACAGAATAATTTAGGCGTCAAAGTTTAATGTGCCATCAAAGCCGCGCACGGCACGCCCTACTCAACCGATTTCAACTGGCTGCGGCTGCTCCCAGCAACAGCAAGACATCTCCGTGAGGAGCCTCATATATCGGGCGCCGTAGCGACTCGAACTCGGGCTTTCACGACCTGAACCCGGGCTCTCACTACCTACCGGCCAACGCTCTACCAAGTACCAACTGAGCTCAGTGACAAGCCATTTGGCAATACATATTGTCAAATGTCAGATCAATTAATCATATGTGTGTGCACTTATGTGTCGTGTCGTCTATCAGCTTTAGTACAAACTATAGACTCTCGTGGATAAATTATATGTCATGTCGCGTCCGGCCCACCGTTCTGACCACACTCGGTGGCATGTGCTGTCACAACTCACAGGACCAGGCAGAGTTGACAAAGGTGTCCGGTCACAGCAATCCATGCTCTCCCTTGTAGCCAATTTTACTCGGATAGCTCTGAATTAGCATTATCTATCCTGTACGTTTCACTATTCGTTGGAAATTCGATATTTCTTTCTGCTTAGGTAGTGTGCCAAATTCCTTTTTTCATGCGTCACACAACGTTGAAGTGCAACCTCGTGTTACATAATAAAGTGGCGATTCGCCATTCGTGCTATATCGACCCCAATTAATAAATGGTCGACCTTGTTGACAAATGGCAGTGGTGCGTGTTGGAACCGGAAAGCGGGAGGACACTTCAGCAGCAAGGTTCTCCATTGACTAGGCCATTCTGGCGTGCGCCTGCTGCTTATATTGGGTGGAAATCAAACAATGTCTTGTCTCAGAATGAACGAAGGTAGTACGATGTTAAATGCACGTCGCTAGCGTGTTGTCTTTTTTTGTATGAGGTTTTCTGTTGCGGCTCTATAGGGAAGGCATGTTGATAGTTACGCCGCCGCCGCTGCTGCTGAGGTGTTTGTATCGAACAACGCCTGAGCTTCACCAGTATCGGGCAAGTCCTACTTCGGTTAGCTCCTACTGACGTGGCGCCACCGACATTTTCGAAATTTTGAACAGGAGGAAGCTGTTAAGACACCAAGCTAACCGTGTCTTCGGAAGATCTCCCCATCCGAAATGGTAAATCATTTTCTGCGAGTGAGTCCGTTGCCACCGCGCTCGCCGGCCAACCGTCCTGCACCTGGGGACGCGAAGTGTGCCGACGAGCGCATCGAGCTGCCGTCGGGCGCCTGTCGCTCGTTCGTCCGCCTGCTGAGTGCCGCCGGCCTGATGGCTGGCCGCGGCTGGACTCCCGTCGTCGGAGCGCTGGTAGCCTTCGTCATCCACTCCGTCATTGGATTCATCTTCGCCATATATAGTCTCCAGGAGTTTTGGAAGGATCAGCGCGCCGGAGAGCCGTTCTTCAGATCGTTTTTCCAGTCGAACTTCATTGGGATTCCCCTGGCTATGATCTACCTGTCTCTGATGCTGTCGCTGACCGTGGGCCGGCGCCGCTACAGCCGTGTGCTGGCCGAACTCTGCAGCGTTCTGAAGGAGTTGGAGCAACTGCCACAGCCCGTCACCTCGTGGTTGCGACCGAGCACTATCGGTATGACCATGTGGGCGCTTACCGCTGGCGTGACGGTCAGCTATTTCGCTACCAAGGTGCATACCACCCTGTGGATATGCGAAGCAATACCACTTCCTGTCGGCGCGACTTCTGGTTTCTCATGCGCAGAGTGGGTCGCACTGACAGTCGGTCTCGGTTACTCCACCGTGTCCTTCGCTCTGATCGCCACGAAGTTCCTCCTCGTCGGGCTGCTGCTGGCGCACGGTCTCCAGCTGGTGAACGGCAGACTGGAGGCTCTGGCTGCCGCCGCCGCTGCCGCTGACACCACCGCCACTGATGAGGTGGTCGCTGTCGAAGCCGTCGCCGCCAAGGCTGACGTCACGCTTGTGGAAGCCGCCGAGCCACCGCTGTCGGATGAGGCCGAGCTGCGTCGGCTCGGTCATCTGCACCGCCGTCTGTCGGAGGTGACCAGCAGCCTGTGCTCCTCCATGTCCCCGGAGCTGACTACGCTGATCGCGGTGGCCGTGATGTCGCAGGTGATGCTGGCCGCGCTGCTCTTTTACCCGCTGCGGGACATGGCCTTCCTGCTGCGCTACCTGCCGCTCGCGGCCGTGGCGATGGGCGGACCGTGCGAGACCTGCCAGCAGCTGCTGAACCGGCTGGACGCCGGCCGCCGGCTGCTGCTGCGACTCGAGTGGCACCGCCCGCAGCTGGGCGGCACGGTCGGCCCCCTGCTGAGGAGCGTCCAACACGACCTGGAGACGGTCGGCGACCTGGGCCTGTTCCGGCTGCGGCGCTCCACCCTGCTCAGCGTCTGGTCCACCATCGCCACCTACATCATCGTGATGGCGCAGTTCAAGATGTCGGAGATGACCAGCGCGCCGTGATCCAGGACGACGTGGTATAGCGCGACGTGCTACACCTCATACAGCGGGCGATGCGTAGCTGTACTAGCGATAGGTGTAGGTAGTCCACAGCACCTTAGCTCGTAATGTGGGTTAACTTGTGGGCTAATGTGGGTTATTACGAGTTAACAACTCGTCGCTTGTCCCGTAGCTCAGTTGGTAGAGCACCGGACTCCCGGTAGTGAGAGCCCGGGTTCGAGACGCTCTGGCGCTCGATATTTGAGACTCCTGACGGGGATAATCTGCGGTTGGTGGGAGCAGCCGCAGCCAATTGAAGTCAGTTGAGTGGGACAGGCCGTGTCCGTCTTTGAAGGGCACGGTAAACTTTGGCATCTAAATTCTCCCGTTACCTGGAACTGCGCGTTCGGACGGTAGGGGTCGGTGTTTACTCAACAAGCTCTGCTTAGCGTGGGCTCCGGCTCTGTCAGTCCCTCCATTCAAACATTCGAGCTAAATTTATAAATAAAAAATATCCAATAACTAGCTCGACGGGTATCACTGTTTGTCCCTCGAATGTGTCGTGCCTAACTTCGGCATGGATGCTGAATACTTAGTGTATTTCTCATCCATAAGTACCTGTTTCTTATGCATTATTTCGTATATTTGGATCATCGTATAGCTCTATTAATACCCTGTAGTAGTGTAGTACGCACCTGTTGACAAATACCTTTGTCAGTTTAGGGCTACAGTTCTCACGCAATGTCGATTGCTGCCACAGCATCCCGTTGTATCGTATCGCAAGCCACCACAGATGACAAGCATTTCAGATGGACACTGATCCGCTGTCATTACTTGCCTGTTGTTCGCGGATTATTAGTGTGCACATGCATGTATCGTAAATATTTTCCGGGCAGTTCGGTGTTGTGGTTGGCTACTGCAGCCAGCAGCAGCTTAGACGTGAGCTATTTGAGCATTATTCTGCAAAATAACAGACGTTACCGGTGCTGGACACCTGTTGTGGCTACTGAATGTGGGGACTGTCCAAACATTTTCGTGGAGGCGGTGCTATGTAAACACTGTTGCTACCGGTAAACTTTGGGTCGCGGTCGGCCTGTTTTTCCTCCATTGTCGTCTTGGCCTTACCTTATGGCCCCATCCAAGTCCAGTTTGGTGTGTCCCAATTCAGCGACCAATTCATCAGTCTCAGAAGCTGTCGCTATTCGATTGGTCCATTATTCTTGTGCCGGACTGTTTGTAGTCGCGGACTGTTACGTATGTCGTGAGTAATCCTCAATACACTAACATTAAACTTATCGGAGTTTACTGTGCCGACCGTCACCTCAAGCCAAATATTTGCACCTGCATACAAAATTAATAATGTTCGGCAACTTTGCCAATTCCATGACCATACCTAGCTCTATTCATCGGCTGTGTTCTAAGCTTACCTCGTTCTCACCAAACTATGGTCCAACAAATGTGTGACGAGAGCTAAAAAAAAACTGGCCAGCGGCACCTGCCGTCTGACTCTCGATATCTAACCCCTAACCCCTGACATCTGACCCCGACCTCCTACCTCAGACCTGTAACCTTTGACCTCCGACCTGTGACCTCTGACCTCTGACCTCCGACCTGTGACCTCTGACCTGTGCCGGCGCGCCGGCAGATGTGGCGGAGCGGTACCGCCGCTGGAGGGAGGACAACTCCCGCAACAGTGACCTGATCGTTCAGCTCTGGGAGGAGGTACTCTGCGCCAAGGTCGACAAACTCGGGGATGAGAGTGAGTGCACAGCGGTGGGACATGTCGGGCAGGGACGGACCTAATCGCCAGAACTCGGGGTAACAACCACACCTGAGATTTCAGGATCATGCTAAATCTTCAAAAACGTTCGTTTATGTTGTCTTTTATTTATTGATTTCTTAAAAAATATCTTGCCAAATTATTTAAATACACGCCACCTGTGACTCGGTTTTGTGGTTTCACTGTGTCGCCTAATTCTCCCCTGACCTACAGCGCCCTCTGCACTGCAGAGCCCGCCCTAGCTGCCGTCTTGAGCCACCCTCTCCGTTTCCATGCCCCTATATTCTACCCTGGGCCGCAGGTGGCAGTGAATCTGTCAGGCAGTGTTTTATGTCACTGTAGTATAAATATGACAGCTGGGTATGACCGAAATCGCGGTCTGTTGCGCTTCGATTCCATTTTAAAAGTCATTAATACAGTACGAGTTGTGAAACTCGGGGTCGAGTGAATGGGTAGGAATTCCCCGGGCCGGATCTGCTGCCAGTGTGTGCAGCAGATCCGTCACTCTATCAGCCCACCGCTGGTTTCACTCTATCAGCCCACCGCTGGTTTCACTCTATCACCACCGCTGGTGGGCTGATAGTGACATGAGGCAAATGCTGACCTTTTCTTTACTGACTGGCCTTTCGATTTGTCGAAGAGAATGCGATATTAGGCTAGACACCCCCGGTTTTCCCCACATGTAGCATACGAAAATGTGTATCTGTGTGAACAATACATGTAATTCCGTCTTCCCTCACGGAATGTAGCACCCACGTACGTCCGTGTTCTCTTCGGAATGGATATGTGTACCCCGTTTTTCAAGAGCGTCAAGTTTGTAATGCTCCTGTGCAGAACGGATGTTGTTACTGCGTTATTTCCAGCTCAGTATAACACAGGTGTCCCTGCGTTCTCTCTACCTGCAGAGTGGATGGTGGCACGGCTTTTACAGCTCATTATAACACACATGTGTCTGTGTTCTCTCTGCGCAGAGTGGATGGTACTGGAACAGGTGGCCGTGGCCGCGCTGGACCTGCACAAGATGACCGTGGCAGAAGACTGTCTGGTGATGTTGTCCAAACAGTTCCCCGGCAGCCAGCGCGTCAGGAAACTCAAGGCGCTCAGACTGGAGGCCCTGGAAAGGTTAGAGGGGAGAGGAAAGGAGAGAGGAGTGGAGAGGGAGGGTGTATCTGGGAGAAATGGCGGAAACTCAATGCGCTGAGACTGGAGGCGCTCGAGAGGTCAGAGCAGAGGAGAAAGGAGAGGAGATGAGAAGATATGGGGATGGGGTGTGCTGGGATGGGGTGGGATGAGACGAGAGGACAGGACAGGACAGGACAGGACAGGACAGCACAGGACAGGAGACTAGGGAAGGAAAGGAAAGGAGAGGAAAGCAGAGAGAGGGTTATAAGAGAGATGTGCGGACAAGGCACAGAACGTGAAAGACGTGTCTCACCTACACCATACTCTTCCCTCTCTTGACTCCCCATCCCTCTCTGCGCCCCCCCCCCCCATTACAGGTATGAGGACGCCAATGACGTGTATGACGCCATCCTGCGCAAGGACGAGACCAACACGGTGGTCCGGAAGCGGAAGATCGCCATCCTGAAGTCGCTGGGGAAGACGTCGGAGGCCATCAGGGAACTGGTCGAGTACCTGAAAAAGTACGACGCGATGACTGACTGCTATCGATGCTATGCTGCAGTCGCAATTTTGGTGATCGTATGTGCATTCATGCACGTTCCTATCCGTCAGGATGTTTTGTTTTTTAATTTTTATGTAGCCTGTATTGCAGACCGTTTTACTAGCCTCGTCGGCCGATTTTCTGCTCTTTCTCATTTCGGGTATCAACATTCGCTTATGTTTCAGGCTGATGCAGGGTTATGTTTCCCGTTCATTTGTTTCCTTTTGACAGTTTTTTGTTTCCAGTCATCCTCCCTGCGTCTGCTTCTGTCCCTCACGCTCACCCACCCGTTTCGGCAGGTTCATGTCGGACACTGAGGCGTGGATGGAGCTCTCTGACCTCTACATCAGCGAGCAGGATTACGCCAAGGCCGCCTACTGCATGGAGGAGCTGCTGCTGCACAACCCCCACCACCACCTGTATTTTCAGAAATACGCCGACATTAAATATACACAGGTACGCGGCGCAGCCCCCCCCCCCACACACACAACCCCACTACTACCTGTACTTTCAGAAGTACGTCGATATAAAATATACTCAGGTACGCTTAACCCTAACCACCACATAGACCACTTTTAGAAGTACGCCGATATTTAGCTCACAGGTATGGTGGCTGGGAAATAGGGTGTACGAGTTGAGAGAGGTTGGAGGGGTAGTTGTGGGAGCTGTTTGTGTTGTCTACTTCGACCAGTAACTGACAGTGCCGTCAGCCAGCTAGCTCCTCTGCCGTCCTTGTGCCTTGTGTTGAGGCACAAGTCCACCGTGTCAACTCGTCCACCGTGTGTTTCAGGGCGGCTTTGACAATGTGGAGGTGGCACGCTCCTACTACTCGAGAGCTGTGAAACTGAGCTCCGCCAACAACATGAGAGCCCTCTACGGGCTACTGCTGGTGAGCATTGTAGTGACTAGTCTACTGTTCGTCTAGCTGTGGTAGCGTTCTCTTAGGGTGCGTTCGCAGTCTCCTCGGACGAACAACATTCTACGTCGTCCGGCCAATCCTGTTCGATAACCGCAGCCGAGCCCCCGCCGACCTTGAACGGCATTGGCCGCACAACGTAGATTCTTCATCGTCTCCGAATCCGAATCTAGGGTAGGTCTTTGTTTGTTTGTTTTGTTGGGTTAGGCCCTTTCGGTCGACAAGACCATTGCAGAGCCGGAAGGATGATAGGAATTAGGGGGAGACATTGGTCTGGGCAGGCACCCTAGTGAGTCGCCGGGGCTGAGCCCGTCCAGAGGACAGGCCACCCAGCCCCAAGGCACTCACTGCACCCGGCTACGGGGTGCGCTCCCTCAGGAGCAGCGGTGCCGCTCCAAGGGAGCAGCCCGCATGAGATAAAGTTGCCTGTCCAGCCCGGAGTGGGGTTGTGGCGTGGAGGAGAAGGATTTCAGTATCCTGAGGATAGAAGCACGGATAGGTGAGGATAGGTCTGTCTGCGAGCGCTTTATGTGGCTGGCGTGAGAGCTCCTTGGCTTTTGGCCCCTGTCGGCGCCGCCGCGGCGGCTGGCAATGGATAGTCGTAGAGGGCGCTGGGAGCAACAGTGGATGCTTGGAGGGGTCGTTCTTCGGCGCTGTTTTTCACAGTCTTTGCTTTCCAGGTTGATGGTCCTTCATTTGTGTAAAAGGCTTGGAGAAGCGTGGTGTAATTTCGATCTTTTTATTCATTACCTCATGAATGATCTTGCAAGGGAAGTTAAGCGAAACCGGTATCATAACTACGCGCATGGGCTACGTAATTATTTGAAACAGCGGTATGTGATGACAAAGTTCAGTAATCGACATTCTTTTACCATCGCAATTACGCCCTGCCGTAATGTTTGGCGATCACGGCTCTCGGCATGTCCAGACTGCGGTAACCCTCCCGGCTCCCACTCTCCCTCTCCGGCGACCCATGCCTCACACTGCTCTGTCCTCTCTAGCAAAACTTTGACCACTCTCTCCTTCCCATCCCCCGTCTCCTGACCCGTTCGAAATACGCCCAGCCACTGGACAGCGCTGTTTGATCGATAGTACCGGCTGCTCGTTTGATGGGCCGATCTTCACAGTGGAGGGGCCGCCGCCGACCGGCCACGAGACTCGCCGGCCGCTTCGGCTAGCCAACTTGGTCGATCCATGGGCGGCGGCGGGGTCCCGATGGCTCATCTGGGGTCCTTTAGTGCCGTGTCAGAACGACGGTGAAAGGCCGGACGATGATGGGTCGGTCCGACTTTTGTCGACATGAGTGGAGGTCAGGAAAGGAATGGCAGGCCAGTTCGGTGCAGGGTATGTCATGGAGAGGTCTGGATGAGCGATAGGATGGGCGTCTTTTTATGGAGGCTGTTTGTTTGGATGAGCGGCTTATGAAGAGGAGGAGATCGACTGTTATGCTCTTTATTCTTGAGTTTTAGTCTTCAATTCTTGTTTTTCGTGGGCTGTTTCAATGCTATGAAATAAGGACTTCAAGTGGAAGGACATCTGGATGCATTTTTTTCGGGCACGGAGTGGTATGTTTACACACTATTTGCGTTCAGAACTAAGATATTTTAGTTCTTGGCGCAATTTTTAGTTCTGAGTTTAGTGGCGACTTCAAATTCCCGAACAGGATCGGTCTATCTCGAGTTTTTGGTTACTTTTTTCACCCAGTTAGCTGGCGAAGTGCTACTTTCTCCAATTTCGCCCTGAAGTACTCAGTAACGATTTCCCCAGGCTCACGGCTCTCTATGTCTATGTCTCGACTCTCTAGAGTCTAGACTCTAGAGTCTCACGGCTCATCCCTGACGGGTGGGCCGTTAATACTGGCGGTCGGTGCCTTGCGAAACGGATACAGGCCACTGGGCGTGGAGAGGAAATGTCCCCGTCAGTTACCGCTGTGATTGGTTTACAGCCCGTGACGTCATAACGTGCAGCCGCCCAGTGAACCCCCGTGACTGGACTGAAGTATGTGCCGTGTTTAATTACCGATGCTGAAATACCTGCTTTGGTTGGTCGGCGGTCGTGTAAAAGGCTATTTAGAATGATAATTTCGCATATGAAAAGCAGTATAAATGATGCAAATGTTATAATTTGAAAGTAAATGCGAGCCGTTGTTATGCTTCAGCCTGCTGCTCTGGGAATGACACTCGCGATGAATGGTTTGTGTCGCCATCCCCTACAAAGAACAGGAAAAAATCGCAATGGTTCGGTTGTCCTGCCGCTCACTTATTTAACACTCATTCGCTGCCTATTGCTAACCATATGACCTGTTTATTTCAGTGCTGCTCTCAGATCGCCAACTCACCCAAAGCTCAGGCTCAGAAGAAGAAAGAGAACACCAAGATCGGCCAGTGGGCCGCGCAGTGTATCTCAGACAAGTGAGTACCGAGCTCCCCTTCCTACCGTTTACCACCCATCGTTCGCTCCCCACTGACTCCGTTCCTACAGCACCGATCGAACCACGGGGCTCGACCAGTCCGGTGTACTGAATCGCCGGCCCTTCCGCTGACACCACTCGTGTATCATGGCCACGCTGAACTTTGGACAAAGCCCCGTCGGGCTGTTGTTCGAGTCTGTTTACCGGGTCGAACGGACGCTTTTATTACTTTCGAGTTCCGAGCACATGAGTTTGTGAGTTGACCTACTATTGTATGTGTTCATGTTATAGACAAAGCCCTTCAAACCCCTCAAGATGTACTAGTTCCCTATTGATCCGAGCCCAAATGGACCATAGCAGTCGGCGTCTCCTAAAGCCCCAATAAAGAGCAAACCCATCCCCTCTATTCTTCACTTCTCTTCGCCTCCCCCCGCTCCCCGCTCTCTCCCGCTCCTCCTTTTCGCGTCCTCATCCATGTCACGTGCCGCCGCGTCCCTGTCATCAACTATTGAGTGAGACCCATCTGGACGACCGCGTACGGTACGCCGTCTCCGCTACCGCCTCGCTGCCGTCAGTACCATCATCAGACTCGATATTGGAGGCGAGCTGGTGTCCTCAGAAGCCAACGTGAGGCTTTTGTGACCGGCAATGTCACTGGGGAGTCAGGCTGGAGGCTATGTGCGTGAAATTTGCAGAGGCGGAAGAAGGCTGACATGATCTTGATGTTCGATCCTTGGTGGCTGCCAGGGGTGGATTTTTTTGTTTTTTATTGGGGTTGCACAGCCCTGAAAGGGCGCCCAAAGCGGTACCGAGGGGCGCTATAGTCCGGAAGTGGGCGCCACCAGGTACGGTCGTAAACTTGGCGTTGGGGGGGGGGGGGGGGAATTGGCAAAGGGGCCCCTGTAGACCCTCGCTGGGGGCGGTGTGTTAGCTTAACCCACGTACCGCGTAGGGGGGCGAATATCCGCCCCCTCCCCCTGAAGTTTTTCGTAAGTAGCGGAAAACTTCTGAAACCAATATGAGACCCTTATGATCTTAAATGATCTTAAGCCCGGCTTAAGATCATTTAAGGCCAGTATTGAGATTGACCCTCATAAACCGGGTGAGACCTCGCACAGCAGTATGGGTCTTTGAACTCCAACGTGGGTCTTACGAGACCTGCCTGAGCCATCAGAGGCCAGTGCGGGCCCGGGGTCATCAAAGGCCAGTGCGGGGTCGTCAAAGGCCAGTTCGGAACCTCTGAGGAAGTGTGAGCCCTTGAGGCCAGCGTTGGTCCTTGAGAGGTCAATGTGGGACCCCTTGACTGGTATGGGCCCTAAGAGACATGTGTGGTGCCAATGCGACCCAAAATAGACACAACTAACGACATGGGGCTCTCAGAGACTAGCAGCGGCCCTTAAAAACCTGTACGGGCCAAACAGATCGACAGGGGCCCTCCGAGATCGGCAGAGAATAAGAAGATAGCATGAGGCGCCTATGATGGGCAGGCCCGGGCTCTCAAAGACCTAAATGGAACTATCAGAGACCAGGGACCCTTGGCAGCAGACATGGGCCCTCAGAAACCGATGTGACCCCGATATGGTAATAGACCTTAATGCCGGTCCGTTGCGACGAGATAACGGCCCTCAAATTCCGAAATTCCGACATGGGGACCAACAGAGACTGACAAGGAGCCTTGGAGGACGGCATGAAACGCCAAAAGTTCTTCCTTGGACCCCAGAGACTAAATATGGGACTCTCAGAGTCTGGTGCGGGGCCCTCTGAGGCCTGTTTTGGGCCACCAGGGTCCGGTTCGGTCCATCAGATGCCGGTTATGGCCCTCAAAAGCCGGTTTGGGACCCTGAGTGGCCACTGGCCAGTACTGGCCCTCAAAAACCAGTTGGTCATCAGAGGCCAGCCCAATATGATCCCTTACAGGCCAGTGTGGAGCTCTCGGAGGTCAATGTGGGCCCTCAGAGCCCAGTGCGAGGCACCCAAAGTTCAATCTTGAGCCCTCAGCGACCGGAGTGGGTTCATCATAAGTTAGTGTGGGTCCCTCAGAGCAGCCTCAGTGACCAGACTAACCTGGCACCCCAGAGACCATAAAAGGGCCATCAGGGGCGGTGTAGAGACCCCATAGACCGGCTGGAGCCCATTGAGGCCAGTTTGGGGCCCTCAGAAAAAGAAATGAGGCCATTAGAGGCGTGGACCCCCAGAGACCAGTTTGGGAGCCCTCAAGACCAGTACAGGGCTCTCAAAGGCCAGTTTGAGGCCCTCAGAGGTCGATGCGGGCTCTTAGTGACCGGCACCCAAAGGTCAGTCCTGAACCCCAGAGACAGAAATGAGGCCATCAAGAGATCAGTGTGGGGCCCTCAAAGGCCGGTTGGGGGACTCCTGATGCCGCTTTCGGGCCCTCAAGGGCCAGTGGAGGGCTCTGGGAGGTCGATGTGGGCCCTCATCGGTCAAGGTGGGCCCTTGAAGGCCACTGAAGCGCCCTCAGAAGTCAGGATACTCAAAGACCGGTATGGGGGCTGTTACATAATACCTGGCGTTGGTTTCTTGAGCCTCGTGACAATCGGGTAAGAGCCAGGGCCCCTACGCCCATCGGGGCCCATCGGTTGTTTAAGGGGGCAAATTATATGATGGCCATTTGGCCCCTGATTTGTCTTTGGGGGGGGGGCATGGCCCTGATGCCCCCCTGCGACCTCCACTGGGCGGTGAGCGGCGCACCAGGAATCGAAATCCACGATTTTTTTTAACTGGTCATTTTTGCATGTCCGACAGCTCTACGGCCTTGTGACAGCTCAAGCTCTTGAGAGGAGGGTAGTACGGGTACCTACATTAGAGGGGGCGGCGATGCAGCGCCTACGCTTAGAGGGGGCGGCACCTACATTTTATGGGCAGCACCCTAACTTGAGGAGTGGCACCCACGCATGGGGGGGGGGGGGCGGCATCTATCTACATGTGAGGGAAAGGCACCTTCATTTCAAGGGGTTGCACCTACACTTAGGGGGTGGCACCTACATTTGAGGGGGCTGCATTGCAACTAGGCCTTAGGGGGCGGCAACTACACGCTAGGGGGTGCCATCTACATTCGAAGGGACGGCACCTACATTTTATGGGATGACCGATGACACCTATGCATAAGTGGCCGGGGCCAACATTTGTGGGGGCGGCGCGGCACCTTCATTCGAGGGGCCGGCACCTGCATTCGAGGAGGGCCGGCACCTACATTCGAGGGGGCGGCACTAACATTTGAGGGGGCGGCACCTGCATTCGAGGAGGGCCGGCACCTACATTCGAGGGGGCGGCACTAACATTTGAGGGGGCGGCACCTACATTCGAGGAGGGCTGGCATCTACATTCGAGGGGGCGGCACTAACATTTGAGGGGGCGGCACCTACATTCGAGGAGGGCCGGCATCTACATTCGAGGGGGCGGCACTAACATTCGAGGGGGCGGCACTAACATTTGAGGGGGCGGCACCTACATTCGAGGAGGGCCGGCATCTACATTCGAGGGGGCGACACTAACATTTGAGGGGGCGGCACCTACATTCGAGGGGACAGCGCCTACATTCGAGGGGCGACATTTACATTTGAGGGGGTGGCACCTACATTCGAGGGGGCGACACCAACATTCGAGGGGGCGGCACCTACATTCGAGGGGGCGGCACCTACATTCGAGGGGGCGGCACTTACATTCGAGGAGGGCCGGCATCTACATTCGAGGGAGGGGGCGGCACTAACATTTGAGGGGGCGGCACTTACATTCGAGGGGGCGGCACCTACATTCGAGGGGCGGCATTTAGGTACATTTGAGAGGCGGCACCAACATTCGAGGGGGTGGCACCTACATTCGAGGGGATGGCGCCTACATTTAATGGGCGGCGCCTACATTCGAGGGGGCGGCACTTACATTTGAGGGGCGGCACCTACATTCGAGGGGCGGCACTTACATTCGAGGGGGCGGCACCTACATTCGAAGGGAGCGGCACCTACATTTGAGGTCTGAGGAGGCGGCAACTAGGTACACTAGATAGTTGAGGGGTGACTATTGCCTACATGATGGGTAGGGCTCTTTTGAAAGATGGTGCCAAGTCAACGGGTGGCATAGAGTTTTGGGATGGCTCAGGGTTATGGGGGCGGCACCATTCGAGTCGCCCGCCGATTTATTTCAGTTGTAAAGTTGGGGTTGCACAAACCGATGTTGGGGTTGCACAATTCAAAGTTGGGGTTGCACGTGCAACCCCAACTTGATATAAAAATCCACCCCTGGTGGCTGCATTATATTTTCCCTCCGTTATACTACTCCGGAAATCAAAAACATGACGATGACCTGAAGTGAAGTTGCAAAGAACAATTCTCGTTGATCAATTCAGTTAAAAAATAACAATTCAACAAAAAAAGAAAAAACAAAAGAACAAAAAAAAAGAAAAAAAAAGAAAAAAGAAAACATAAAAAAGAAAAAAGAAAAAGAACAATTCAGTTGCAAGAGAACAACTTGTCCATCCCCCCACACGCTCCGACGTCTACCCTCGACCATGCATCTCTCTTCTGATACCCACCTGGTATCGCCTTCCCTCTCCCACCCAAGCTGGCTCTAACTTTGTCCGCGGTAGAGCCGCCGAAATCCGCGTGTCTTCCCGGCGCGAGTTGTGAGATTCTGTCCGAGCCGGGGTCGTGGACCAGTGACAGCGGATATAGAGAGCCGGTGGGAGCGGGGGACCACCACGGTCGGTGTTTGGGGCGGTGTGTCGCGCTGGTGGTAGTTACGTGTGTGTTTTGGTGTGGAGCTGTCCCTGGGGAGAGTAGGATGGAGGTGGAGGTGACAGCGGTGGTGGCGGTCGGGACTTGGCTGGCTGACAGTTTGTTATAGCTAGGTAGTTCAGCTTGGCTTTGTCGACAGGGTAGGTGCTAACTGTAAGCTACGTATATAGAGCAGTGGAGACTCTTGACTGTCTGAATTATTTTAATAGTACGCTTTTGGAAGCTTGCTGCCTATTTTTAAACACGCAGACTAAATGCAAATGACTGATTCTTGATGACGCACCATGTCATAAGCTCCGACTTTTATGTGCAGTCAAATGGACAGACATTTATAACTTTCGTCCGACGGTTGTCGCTTGTCTCGAAGCTGTCATTCAGACGGAACGGAGGCTCTTAGCGTGATGCATTTGGAGTTGGAATTACTTAGTTAAATTTGCCAGAGAGATTCTGGAAGCTTCATTGTTTTCACTCATAATATCGAGACGGTTTGGAGATGTGAGATTATGCTCGTCGTGCTGACGCATGGAATTCAGTAACGCATATTCATAACCACGTATGCATGTATACCCTTTCTAAGATTCTAGTGATGTCCAAACCCGATAGCTCATGACCTTTCTAAAAAAAACGACCCTTTGGGGAAGCTGACAGAATTTGTTCTTATTTTCGATTGGCCTCACATTTGAAACCGTTACGTATCGTCCCGTCTTACCCTTACCACCCCGTCTTATGCCGTCTCGTCCGTCCCGCCTCATCCTCTCCAATTCCTTTCATCCCATCCATCCCATCCCTCCGTGTCTATCCACCGACTCGTCCGTGGCGTGGCGCCGGTCCGTCGCCCTGCCGTCGTCATCGGCGACGAGTGTCGTTCCTTGGCCGTTCCTTGGCCGTTCCCGTCCGTTCTCCGGTCGTGGTCGAGCTAACCGTGTATGATAAGCTGCCGGACGCCGCGCTCCACTGCCGGTTAGGGCCGGCCATGTCCGGTTAGTACCGGTTAGCACGGGTAAGTACCGGTTATGGCTGGCCGGCGCCGGCGTTATGTGTGCTGCTGCGATAGCGAAGGACAGATTGGCTGTCATTGACGGACTGAGAGTCCTGACGCTTGGTTGAAGCGACTTAAAGTCGGGGAGGAATGGCAGTCAAGGGACTTGCTCGCCGTTTGCGAGTATATCTTGCTCTGCCTTCGAAATTTGGTCTCTATACTTCTTCCCGTAGGATATCCTAATACACTACCATGGCCAGAGTTTGTTCCTGACATTTCACTATGATTTCCGTGTGTTAAGGCTGCTTATTTTCGTGTCACTATACTGTCTTTAATACCATGCGTGGGAGGCACACCAGCCTTACCGTATCCTAGGGGCTTTGTCTGGGTTATGCCGTATCAGCGTTCGGAGGTCTGACCGGGTCTTCTTTGGCAGGTACCGTGAGGCGAGTGGCTCTGAGGACAACCAGCCCGTGGAACAGCTACTGGGGGCGCTCACACTCAGCTAGTTGGATGGATAGCTAGACTTCTGGCATGATAGATAGACCGACTGCTGGGCGGGCGATCAGCTGGTCCAGTTGGACGTCCAACTAGCCAAACAGCTAGTTGGAGGTCAACTAGTGTTGACAGTCAGCGACACTGATTCAGTTAGATTGGAGGCCCACCGATCTGACTCTCAGTATGTTGACCTGTCTGATAGTGCGACTGTCACAGATGAACGGTTCACTGAACTGGCTAGCCGCTGTGACTGAACTGTGACACGGACTAAAGCCGACGATGGCTAACCTATGGAAAAATGGTGGCACCGACATAGCGAACAGAACAGGACAGGCGTGGAGCTTGCATACGACCAAGGACGGATGGTGGTAAAGGTGGTATTAAAACGGAGACATAACCGTGATCATTTGATCACAGCAGGTGTTTGTACTGGTGAGTCGAGCTCGTGAAAGATGGAGCGCTAGCACCGTCTGAGCTGGTCGAATTGTGCCCATGGTGACCTCTTGACCCATAGTTGTCCTACAATTTAGCGTTTATCCTATTAATTGTATGCCGCAATGCTACGAAAGATAGTGTGAAAGACTTGACAAGTATGCGGCATCCTCGGAATTCGGTCTAATAACAAGCCACGTTTATGTTGCACTTGTGTCTTGCCATGCCACGGAGGAATCCCATTGTGTATACGCACGCGCCACTCTGTGTTTCTGTGCCGCTCGATTATTCCCATGTGTAATTATGTGCGTTATGTTCATTGGTCCGTGTGTCGTGTATTGGTATCGGTAAACGATTATGGGCGCGGCGTGGTGATTGGCTGGTTGCGTGTGTACTCTGTCAGACGGCGTGTCATTTCCGTGATTGAGAACAGAAGCGTGCAGTGATTAGTGGGTGCGTGTAATCGCTCGTGTGGCGCCATGAGTTATTTCTGTGGTGATTTATGGCGTTATGTCATCTTACTCTACTCCGGTAAATAACGTCCCGAAATGAAATAATTTACAGGTTTATTGTGGCACGCTAAGTGTAGCATCATGCCGATGTTGGTATTTGTGTTATTCTTGTGTTGTGTGTGACAAATATGAAATACACGACCATAAGCCCGCGGTGCCGTTTTGGTTGCTATACAGTACAGTGGATGGATCCCAATGCCAACGCAACGTAAGAGAGGAATGAAGGATTGTAATTGATCGCTAAGCTATAGCGTCTGGTGTGGTCAGTGATGTGGAATCTGGCCCGGGTTTATGTGTAGTGGATTCCGCCCCAACCCTTTCCAGTATTCTCGGTAAGGCAGTTCGCCGGTCGGGATATCTTACCTCGTCCAGTGATACCCCGAGTCCCTTGAAGCCGGACCGGGTCCGACCCGCCCACACCAAGACGTTGGTGTGGGCGGGTGGTTGCGGATGAACCCGCCGAGCTAATTAGAGAATACTGGTGGCTGTGTTTATCCCACCAGGCGTTTCTGAGAGGTTTGATCAAACCACTGTCACTCTATCTGACGTGCGGCTAGAATGAGGCTCTGGAGATATGGAAGTGTAAGGGTGCTCCAGGTTGGCGTGGTTACATCAATTATTACGGAGCGAGCGAAGCGAGTGTAGTCTTTCCTTAGATTTTAAAGGTAGTGTGCCAGCTTTCTTGGGCCGTATGGAGTTAATGGCCCAGATAAGGAGAACCGGATTTTTAGAACTTATCCATACCTTCAAAACTCATGGAAACGTCTTAAATTCTTCAAATTTTAAGTACCCCAGTGCGAAATTCGCCCCGACGGGTTGTCGGTCGTACCCCAACCACATTTCACACCACTATGAACAATAAATGCACACACTGAAATCGCTATTACCGATATGCTCATCCAATCAAGTTTCGATAAACCCGTTCATCATCATCTCCTGCGGTTTCGAACACGCCTGTTAGGTGGCTTCTGATGCTCGTCGAGGTCGGAATTTCCAAATACGCGTGGTGCGTCGGGCCGCGCGCTCTGACTTCGGCCAAGAAAAATGCGTCAGCTGATCATTGTCATTTCTGCCACTTGCGTGTGGTGAAATGGGGTCATAACTTATAAGACGGCTCTTTCATATCAATTATTTTACATAAAATCATATTTCAAACCATAAATAATGTTCGACAGCCAAATAAAAGAAACAATACCAATACGGGCTTACAGTTTAAGGCTCGACATTGTGTTGTCTACGATTAGACAGCTGATAACTCATTCCCGTACGTCGTATGGTCGTAACACTATAATGACCTTTGCTTATTGTCACAAGTGCGCCGCATTCGCGATTGTTGCCCGACGCCTGTTTGCAGGTGAGCCCACTACAGTTGTTATACATATCTAAAAACCGAAAAACTTTTAGGCGAAAAAGGCACTATTCCAGGCCCATTTTTGATTTTTTTTTGCGATATTAGGTAAAAACAGAAGCTTCTTATCCTAGGAAAAATAAAATGGGAAATCTTTCAAAGGTGGCACACTACCTTTAACGGAAATTTCTGAGTATGAGCGGCCGGCCGGCCTGGCCGGCCGTGGTCACGCTTTTGCGAGGCTTATATCTCAGCAACCACTTGACCGATTTACACGCGGTAATTTTTGTAGGGTAGCTTCGTTCCTTCTACCAAGCATTGGACTATTCCTGATGCATGTGGGTGACCCCTTATGCACGTGCCACGTGCAAAACGAAGAGGTGTCCGTTTTGTAATTGTTGCAATATCTCGGTAACTACTTGGCCGATTGCGCTGAAAGTTGGCATGTAGGTAGGCACCCAGGGCAGTAGGCACTGCATATCCATGTGCTAGAGTTGGGGCGCTGCTGCACGTGCGCACGTGCAGGGGTCGTTTCCAGATCTCGAGAACGGCTCGACCAATTACCCTCAAATTTGGTACACAGTTAGGGACCGGTTAGTAGGGTGCCGTGCACAAGTCAGTTGGGACCCATTTTGCACGTGCGCACGTGCAGGGTGCCGCTTCCAGATCTCGAGAACGGCTGGGCCGATTGTGCCCAAGTTTGGCACATCGCTAGAGACCGGTTAGTAGGATGCCATGCACAAGTCAGTTGGAGGTACCCCCTCGCAATTTCGCACGTGCAAGGCCCACCCTCTCGCTCGCTCCGTTAGTCGCCCCAAAAGGCGTTATACTGGTTACGGAGCGAGCGAAGCGAGCGGAGTCTCACGTAGAATAACGGAAATTTCTGAGTATGAGCGGCCGGCCGTGGTCACGATTCTGCGACGCTTATATCTCAGTAACCACTTGACCGATTTACATGCGGTAATTTTTGTAGGATAGCTTCATTCCTTCTACCAAGTATTGGACTATTCCCGATGCATGTGGGTGACCCCTTATGCACGTGCCACGTGCAAAACGAAGAGGTGTCACTTTTGTAATTGTTGCAATATCTCGGTAACTACTTGGCCGATTGCGCTGAAAGTTGGCATGTAGATAGGCACCCACTAGGCACTGCATATCCATGTGCCAGAGTTGGGGTGCTGCTGCACGTGCGCACGTGCAGGGGTCGTTTCCAGATCTCGAGAACGGCTGGACCGATGGCGCTCAAATTTGGTACACGGTTAGGGACCAATTAGTAGGGTGCCGTGCACAAGTCAGTTGGGACCCATTTTGCACGTGCGCACGTGCCGGGTGCCGCTTCCAGATCTCGAGAACGGCTGAGCCGATTGTGCTCAAATTTGGCACATCGCTAGAGACCGGTTAGTAGGGTGCCGTGCACAAGTCAGTTGGAGGTACCCCCTCGAAATTTCGCACGTGCAAGGCCCACCCTCTCGCTCGCTCCGTTAATCGCCCCAAAAGGCGTTATACTGGTCCCCATTGGCTGTAAATGGTACCCAATCATAGCCTCCATGTAAAGGTTTCTGCTATCCGTGCGACTGTGCTGGGCGTGGCATAGCGTGTCGTGTAGTTTTGGCTATAAGTATCCAACTTCTAACACATCGGGCCATGTCACGAATGGTTCTAGTCTGCCAACTCAGTGTCCCAGAGTGGGACCTCCTCTATCGTTTTCTGGTCGGAGCGTGCTCGCCACAGTTTCCGTGTCGCCGTGGCGTGTGCCCGACCGGTTCCTCGGCCTCCGGTGGGCGGGTCATCATGGATCAACTGCTGAATAGATCCATCCATCTATTGAACTTCGCCGTGAAACTTGACCAAGAACGATGAGAGACCATTTTCCGCCGACCGCTTCAGGGTCTGATGGTGTTTTCCGATAATTTCATACTTTTATACAGACTGTCAAACTGCTGCATATGACGTAAATCAGCCTTTACACAGACATTCCTATTGTCATTGATGTATTGAATGACAAAAATGTGTAAAGGGCTGGTTGCTGTGAATGCTGTGCCATGCCCCGCTCCATCAATTGAAAGAACCGATGTTATTCAATTCCCAGCTTGATATTGCTGGCGAAGTGAATCATGTTGGCAACTTGGCAAATAAGTAGGCGGCTGTTTGTTGCCTAGTCCTCATCATTCCTTCTTGTTGATGGATTACGAACATTTTGATAAATGCCAATCATTTTGTTTATCGTGTAAACGAAGGACATTGGCTTGTTGTATTCGCCTATCGCAGCAAGGTGCCACGGCACGTTGTTTTCCATTTTTAGCTTACACGTTGATTTGTGCAAGAAGATCCACCATTTCCATCGATCCTGAAGCGATAAACGTTCTTTGTGTTTGGCTTTGGTGAAGCGATGCGGTAAATCCGCTGCCGCCCAAAGCGTTGGAGGTGCTGATGTCGAAGTAACCGACTATTTATGGGCTAAATGCCCGGCACTAGATGAAAAATAACGGCACAAACAGCCCAGTTTCCAATTGAAAGAAGAACCAAAAGGCTTTCCGCTGTCACCGTACCACAAAGGGCGCGCAAGGAACCATGGTTCAGTCTGTATTCGATCTGTGTAGGCGTATTCCAGGCATGTTCATTTGGGCACTGTTTGTGAGCTCATCTGCGTTGCCATTGATGCTTGCTTGGGTTTTAAATTTCATTCCGAACTGCAGTAGTGTGAGTGTCGTTTATTGGTGTTGACGAAAACAAGGTCTTCCTCCCAAACTTCAGCAACTGAATTATGTAACTAAGAAATTGAAGACTCTCTGCCGGCGTAACACGGCGAATTATTAATCAACAATCTATTTGTTAGCAGGCAAACCCAGTAAACAAATACTCGCAGGAGTTCGAGAATTGTCTGCCCTGAAGTGATGTCCCACCGTTACATTCGAGTTGAGTTGATATAACCGTGAGTGCTAACTCACTGCTCACCGATCTCACAATAGACCGATCGGCCTGGTTCTGTGCCGGAACTGGCAGCGGCTGTTTGGTGTTCTAGCTAAGAGGTCATCACCCGCATTTCACGGGCCTTCTCACGTACTGCCGCCAGCCGAAATGGGTCGCCCTCCGAGCCATTATTGCTGTCATTGGCCGCTCGAGTGCGGAGGTAGTATTTCATACGACATTGGCGTATTAAATTCCGTACATTGAGTAGATGCTATTAGATATAGGCGTTTGATGAGTTTAGAATGAGTTATGCATTGATGCATGTGGAGATTCGTTGCAGTGACCTCATCGGGCTCATCGGCGATAGTCGATTGCTATTCCGGTGATATTCTTCATTGGTAAATAACAAAATAACATTCGATAAACGTGTGCGCCTATCTCTTTTGTCGCACATGATTAACCATCACTTGCCGTCATGTATTTCCGGTATAATGTTTCCTCTCCTCTGGAAAGTGCAGCGTTCATCACACTTTGTTTGTGCCGTCTCGACGCCACTGTAAACACACACACTAGCGCGACAATGCCGGCGCCGAATATACGAGCCGTTCGGCGGCGATGGAATGTTTGGTACGTTCGGTATGCCATAACGAGCAGGCAGCGTTCGCGGCTAGTTCGACAATCGGCAGAGACTTTGGAGTTTGCAGACGTCCCGGCCCTCCGTTCTACGAAGAGAAGCAGCATGCCCGGAGTTGAAGCATTCACGCCGTAGATTGTAGGATAGAAAATGGACGGTTGATACCCTCAGACACTCAGCATTTGTGTGAAAAATTCTGAAAACAGCTTTATTAGTTTATAACACATGGCCCGGTAAAACAGGTCAATTATATCGCATAACAAAAACAAAATGCTATTCCAAAAGCAGGAGGCTGTGACCTTGTGGGAACATTACCAGATGTTGCGAACTACACGGAAAACTAAAACGGGCAAATGTTTCAAACCCTAGTTTGTAGACAAAGCTGGTTAAAATTCAACAATCATGTGAAGCAAACAAAACAGTTAGTCATATTAGAAAAATGCTTGCCAGATACACAAATTCACATGGGGTGGATGGGGGACAAACCCACAGAGCAAACAAACATATGTGCTTCTTAATGAATGAACGATCACAATAAACCAAATCGATCACTTGGCAACACTTAATCCCTTCCGTTAGCTTGATAGCACGTGGTAAGTTGCGGGGAAGTTCAAATCCCTTCTCAGGCCAGCAATGTCATACCTATACATAACCTACGTTCATATCATCTTACCTAATCCATCTTACAGAAGTTGATTATTATTAACGAGGTGAAATTGTTCCATTAGAGACAATAATAACGTGTCATAATAAATGGGAAAGTACTCTGCCTATTACTTATGTCTGAGAGAAACCGCGTTTCTCTATCAGTATTTATCATTGATCATGTCAAGTCGTCTTGATATTAAGCCAATGTTAGAGAACCTGTTAGCCTTATGCTGATTTTAAAGGTTTGCCGGCCGGGCCATCGCACAAACATATACGATGGGTTTGGAAATTTCTAAGAATGGCGCCATGCACTTTCGCCGATCAAGAATGGGAGCTTTTAGTGACCTCTCAGAGTTTGTCTTTTGGAATGGCACGCCACGCCACTTAACCTTTAGCACAATCGCGTCGTTCGGTTGATGATTGAAATGTCACCCTTTTGCAGGTCACTTGGCACCAATTTTCAGCAATGCACGCCTCATGCCGATAACTCTAAATCCCGGGGCGAACACCGCGGATTAGCATTCCCCTCCAACGTAGGGTAATTCATGCATCCTTAACATCACAGTTTCCAACTGATTGCACCTGACCCCGCTGTGACGGTGACACAACACTGGGCTCTCGTCCCGTCCCGTCACCGCTCCCATCAGAGTAACAGCAGGCCGCCTCACGTAACCCACCGATCCCCACGGTCGACAGGCTATGTCCTCTACCCCCACTGAGCTCCCTGCAGGCGCGCTGAGAGCTAATAGCTGCGACATCTCGCCTCGCTTTGGCGCCGGCGGAGCTCGGATGGAGCTACTGCGGAGCTACGATGGAGCTATGGCAGAGAGCTACGGTGATGTGATGGCGGAGCTCAGCAAGGCACAGCAGCTCCTGAGCTAACGCCGCCGGAGCGTGTCAAATGTGACCACTCGCTGAGAACATCCGAGTCCTCCCGGGCCGAGAAGACACTCTTCCAGCCACCTCCAACTGTCTCCAGTCGCCCGGAGCCGCTTGGAGATAGTAAGCATAGCCCGAATTTCCTCGAATCTTCTTGGGAACGTCTCCAGTTCTGTCAGCGGCCACATTTCTGCCAATCTGTTCATCTTACCGGGGAGTATCCAGGTGCCCCTGATGGCGGCCCGCTCGAGATTGACATCAGAGCGGCAGTGCCGAGCTCTTCCACCCCGTCTTGGAATACGGGCAATGGTCGGCGCGTCCCCTGGCACCTATGGCAGGAGAGTCGAGTAGCCACCCCCGCTCTGACATTTACCCCACCACTGAGCGAGTTCACGGCTCTGACATACTCCGCGCCGGGCACTGAGGGTGAGTGGGTCTGCCGCGGAGCGCGGTACGACCTCCCACTGGGAGCAGAGGAGGCCCGCCGCTCCTACACGTAGCAGCAGTTCAGAGGGGTGACCGGCAGCGGCGGCAGTAGAGTGAGCGGAGGGCGGTCTTCAGCTCCTCTGCGCCACCGCACTGGCACTACCGTTGAGCCGGTCCGGTGCCGGCACCTTCAGCACCGGAGAGGTCAGACTGTCGGGCGACCCCTGTGGAGCGTGGAAGACAGAGTTAGAGATGCAGGGACATTGAGACACTATATTAGGACTGCCTTTTATGCAATAAAACATGTTCGAAAACGCGTCGCGAGGGGAAGGTTGAAACATCGAGCTTTGTTAGCTAAATTGTTGTGAAATAAGCGCCGACAAAAAGAGCGGTTTGCCGGTACCTTTGAACCTTTTCATTGTCATATTCCAACATTTTACAGCATTTTACATTGTTGGAATATGGAAAACCATTTCCTTTACATCACTTACTCCAAAGGGTAGCCCACACCACACATCGTATCAAACATTATTCCCGTTCTACATCACGCACCCTTTCACATTTCAATCTCGCTTTCCCCCTGATCTCCCCAGCCCGGGCTTTACCAGCGCGTGACTGGCCGACTCGCTGCATTTAGCGCCATTGGGCGAGCATTCAGGGGAGGCTGCCACTCCCATTTGTACGTAGCCCGAGGTGCCACACAGCCGCAGCCCACAAAGCGGCAATTGCAGGCGGGCGGCGACGCCGCTGAAATAGCTGATTAATATCGTGTTTACGTCTCGACTTGCGTACGGGGGAACGTAGGCGATCGGACGAAGGAAGCCGTATAGAGCTAGCTGGGGCTAAATTGAACTCTAGTGAATAGCTACCTCTGATATATCGGTATTCACAATTTTTTTTTTTTGTGCGGATGGATGAAGAGCAAGTTAGGGACACGGAACTGGGAAACTGGTGGGTCCCCAGCGAACCCGACACTCTCTAACTTACGTTGGTCGTCTCCACTGTGACAGTGGGCGTGCCGTTGGGCACGGCTGACCCGGGAGAGGTCACGTCCTTGACCTCTGCGTCCCGCACACTGGTCTCCGAGCTGGCCGCCTCAGAACGAGCGTCCTGTGGACATAAAGAAATAGACAGCTTAGATCAATGTTTGAGCCAAATGTATGGATAAGCCGGACCGTCACGGTCTGACTTATCTGGACATTTGACGTCTCATTTATTGTTGTTGTGCGTGGCAGATACACCCCTGTATCCAGTTTTCACTTTTCATATATTTCCACGCCTTTTTATAAAAAATATGCCTATCAACATAAGTCCAGAGATGGCGGCATTATGCTCAGTGTTATCATCCTTTGTTCTGGTGGGTCTCAGCGCCTTGTTGCGCCGGCTCACGCTGCCACACTGCTGGCAGCGATAGCCTATTTTCCAATTCATCGCCAATTCGTCGATAAGTTACCGTGGAGCTGCGCTTATCGCGCCTCTTTGGCCGGCCGTAAATTGATGATGAAACACCGCTTCACTCATGCATGCGTAATCAAGTGGACGCCCAGGCTTTCCAATCACGGTGGAGATTGTTTATTGCAAACAGTGCCCATGAAATTTCGTCCCGGTAAATTGGGTATATGGAGCGGCACATGGGCCCCATCACCACGCCACCTGTTGCTGGGCTGATATGTCACGTGACGCGTCACATGACTGGGACGGCGTCAACTGAGAAGATAAAAAATAGATAAAATAAAAAGCAATGTGGCGTGTCACATATGAGAAATGATGATCCTTTTTTCTGTCATCGAGCACTCATCACTGTTGTACTTCAGGTGTTCATGGGTCCATACAGAGTGGTATGGACCGATCTATGAATATACTAGTACTTCTGATGCTTTCCTTGAAAGCACAATATTTCTATTTTTGTGAAATTTTATAAACCACTTTGTATCGTGATCGATGTTGATCACTCTCAATATTTACTGAGGGTGAGATCCAGTAGTCCGCCGATAGACACCTGGCATCGGACGTGTTTCGATTGCTAGACTATTTTTAACATTCCTGGAAGACGGGTTTCTGTTTAGACGAGCAGCGTCGCTCTCATTTATTTCTGCTCTCGGGGAGCAGCAATTATCAGGGTGAATGATGCACTGCTCGGGACACGCCTGGCGGGATGGCATACATCAAAGTGGCAGGGTGACATCCAGAGTTCTTCGCTGCTGTTTGGAAGATGACAAAGTGATTTACGATGACAGCTTCATGACAAATGTTTGGTGTCAGGTGCCAGCTCATTTAATTTTAGTGAGCATATGTGCCTTCGGTGTTGATGCTCTCCATTTTACATATATTCGATGCGCGTTTTTCACTATTCGTCCTCCTTCACGTGAGTGTTGCTCTTTTTTTAACCCGAGGCTGTCTCCCACCAGCTTTCTCCATCTCCTGTGGCCTCAGAGGCTGGCAGGTGACCCTGTCGGACCCGGAAGCCGCAGTGACCACCTTCACACCCACAACCAGCGCGGCGGGGTGTCGGCTCACGGCTACCTCCCTCCCCAGTCCCCCACCGGGGGGCGCGCCGTGCCATTACGGGCCGGCACCGGGCGGCCACCGGCCAACGCTGCCACTCATTGTACGGACAATCGATAGCCAATCTGACTGGGCAGACAGCCGGCCGACGGACGAGCGTCTCCGCGGTACATCCATCGTTCGAGCCGCGAGCCGAGAGTTCCCTGCCCCTCCGTCCGTCCGCCCGCCAGGACAGGAACATTACCGAAGAGCTCTGTGCGCCGTCTCGCCTGCCGCTCCGCCTCCGGCACAATGGGGAAGGACAGGATATTGCCACGGCTCTCTCTTCTCCGCTCCAGCTGCCGTCTGTCCCGCCTGTCCCGCCCTTGTCGCTGCCCGTCTGGATATAGCCGTCCTGATGTCTCGTCGTACTGTGACGGATGGGCGAGGAGCCGCCCCAGTCGCTGCTTATTCTGTATCCGCTATTGTAGGACGTGTGTCGTAATTGGACAATGGATGTACGACATCTATCAGAACAGGATTTGCAGTTGATAGTCGGTGACTGCATTAACTCTTCAAATACCCCTTTATACTTACCTCCCGTCCCTTCTTTGTTTACAAGGCTGACGACCACTATTGAATAGCCGTGCGTATTTGTGTATCTATGTATGTCGCAAGCCGTTAAGAAACTCGACCCGTTCACTAATTGGCCGGGCCGTCAACACAATAACACATGTCAGTTGATCTTTGGCTGTGAGTCGACCCGTCCAAACACTTCTCCCCAGGTTTTCGCATTTTGAGTTGTCTCACGGGACCTTCTCTCTTAACTCTTCTGAAGGCCATGGTGACTACCCGATCACTCACTCGGACGTCCTTACCCTTAAAGGGACAGTATCACCATTTTGATGAAATTTGACATTGCATAGGCCCCACCTTTCTGGTCCGGGAACTGAAGACCGATCCTCGAAGCTCCACACCGTTATCCCGCTATCGCCGCTCAAAGTACGAAAGGTGTACCACACTTTGAATCGTGCTTCACTATCTTCACTGTTTAAATGTTTGCGCCGTTTTGAATTGACCGCCAGTAATAAAACTTTTACCCTGGTCATTTCATCAAATTTTATAAAGCCAAAACGTTTTTTCGCACTTATTCATCACCGTTAAATTCATTAAATAGTCGTAGGCAATTTCCGCTGTTTCCTTCGGATTCTAGCGGCTCAACAAAGGAATTCCTTCAGCTTGAATCACAATCTCCCTCCAATGTATGACGTTTATCACGTGATTGTCACGTGATATTTTCTCCCATTGTCAATTGTCACGTCCAATTGTCACTCCCTCCAATTGTCACGGAATATTTTTATAGGCAATACCTAAGGCTACCTCTCCCTAAGGACAACTCAATCAGAAGAACGACCGCGTAAGCGTAGCGTCAATAATGTATTATCTGCGCCAGTTCTGTAGTAATTTTGCATGCTTCCAAACTGGTGGCCATGCTTGTATAGTGGTGGATCGCTCATGAAAATGAATCATGAAAATGAAATGTGGTTGCAATATTTTTAACCGAGTTCGGTCCTCAAACTATGTTTTTCTGATTCAGAAAAATAAGAAATGCTAGTAAAAAAAAAAATCAGCTCCATACATGGATTTTTTTTCGATGATACTGTCCCTTTAAAGTTTTGCTCTCTCTTCATTTTTTATTTATTCATTTTTGAACTTACTGCATGTGGTTCTAAAGTTTTTACATTTCCTCAAACTTCTGAGTCTGGATTTGTTATGTTAACGTATATAACAAAGCTATATACGTTAACATAACAAACTGGTTCTTTCTTAACGATATGCAAAGCATAGATATCATTGTCATAACAGTTTGTAAATACGTCGTACACAGGGCCCGATTGAATAAAAGCACCCCTTCTCTCAATTTCATGCTAAATACGCTGAAGATGGAAGCGCAAAAAGAATACAATCGATATAAGTCAAAGGACAAACTGAACGAATTTCAGACAAAGTGGGGAACACTCGCACAAATTCTGCAAAGCAACTAATTGAGAAAACAAGGTCGCCGCGGCATCCCCGGAGCTTCCGGCCCACGCACCCACGCACACACACGCACGCACCTATACACACACACACAAATGCAAACACACACCCACACCCACACCCACCCACACACACACACACCTATACACACAACACAAACATCACACACAAACACATACTCTCACATGCCCGCTTTCTCTAAGAAACGCCTCTGTTGCATAGCGTGTCCCGCCCGCCCCTAACCCAACCCGGCTAACCGGAGGCCGGCCCTATTAAGGGTCGGCCGGCCGGCCGGGCGCGCGGCTCGCCACCCTATCAGGGTGACGGGTCGCGGGCCCGGCCGGCGGCCTGGGGCATCGCCCCAGCGAGAACGAGTACATGTGGGATTCGCGGGGCGATGCGGGGCGGGGCGAGTTTTGTGAACGTTTGGTGCACTCGCATTGTGACATGCCCAATATGTGCAAGCATCCATATACATGAGTGACATGTGATTCACGATGTACGTGTACCTATACATCATATGTGCGTATATGAACGAAATAAATTTAAAAAAAAAAAAAGAGTCTGGATCCCGGGAACTGTTACTAAAGTTCCTTGTTCCTCGTTAGTTTGTTATTAACAATGTTGCGAAGTTGTGCTGAACCGTGATACTCAGTACTCACGACGTTTCTGAGTGACAAAGACTTGAAACACTTGCCTCATAATTTTTTCATTGTCAAAATTCAACTGCACGGCGCATTATAAAACTTGAATTTCTCGTTATTCATGTCTTTCCGTCGCAGGTGATTTTGTTCGGTCATTTTACATTTCTTTGCTATGCTTCACCAGCAATAGGACGTGGGAAGTACGCTCAAAATAGGTACGGACAGATGAATCACTGAGCGGGTCTATTTCAAGTTTGTTGCTGTAGCTATTACAAATGTGGGGTCCACCTGCCCTGAGAGCAGATGTCACTTACTCTCCCATAGCATCTCTGTACTCCTCAGTATTCAAATGAGCCAATTTAACAACCTGAACTGAATGTCTAAAATGTCTCGCTGATTCCATTTTGGTGCGCTCTGACCTCAGTTCACCTCCTGTGACCGCGAGGTCTACTCATCATAGCCCTGACGTCAGAGAGAAGCGTCCCTAATGCACGCGCCGCGCGACTGCCCGGGACACGCCCGCGCTAATGGGAGCCATGTGTCTTGGTTTCATGCGGCACTGGACGGCTGAATGGAGCCGGTTAAAAGCCCAGTATTTCTGTTAAACACGCCACTTTGTCAAGCCGTTGGGCTCCAAAGGGACATTGATGAGAGCCTCGTGAGGCTGAGCACCCTCACAGGGAAACATGTATATATCTGCCGTGCTTGCATCCCAGTTATTTTGTTATAACTCATGGCACCTGAGCCACTTCATGTAGTGTTGAACGAAAGTTCTTACGTAACCTAAAAATGACAACACTACAACATTTTTTTTTTGGGGGGGGGGCAATTCCTGGCATTTTCTTTGGGGTGGGGAATTTCTATACCCATGTACCCACATTTTACCTAATCCTTTGTCCCTACCTTCTACTGTCCCTATATCCCCTCACATCCTTCATACGT